GGTAGAGATCCACAAGATGTTTTGAGTTACGACACGTACGTGTCCAATGCCCTTTCATTCCACATCCGAAGCAACTTTCTTCATGCTCCTTTTTAGATTTGCCACTCTCGTTTGTTTTGTGCCTTTTGAATTTATTGCCTTGTTGTTGATAACTTTGTTGATTATTTCTTCCATGATTTATTCCACGTACACGTCCGTGTCCGTGTCCACATCCAAATCCATGTCCATGTCCACAACCACGTCCACATCCGCGTCCTTGTCTTAATATTGTATTTGCTTCAGACAATGTAGTACCATTTGCTTCAGGCAATGGTACAGAACCAGTTGGACGTAATCCGTGATTTTCATCAACAATTCATTATTTTGTTCAGCAATTAGTAGGCAAGATATAAGTTTTGAGTACTTTTTGAACCATGCTCACGATATTACTGCTGCAGGAGCACATTTGAGGCATGAAAGGTGGAGAAAGTTTTTTCCAGCATATCTTCATCGGTGATTTTTTCTCCACACAAAATCAACTTTGAACATATTCTGAACAATTCAGAATTGTATTCACTAACCGTTTTAAAGTCTTGCAAACGAAGGTGCATCCACTCATAAAGGGCTTTGGGGAGGACTATAGTCCTCTGATGATCAAATCTTTCAGTTAACTTTTTTCAAAGAATTTGTGGATCTTTCTTGGTGAGATATTTAACTTTTAATCCATCGTGAAAATAGTGACGGAGGAAAATGAGCTCTTTTGCATGATCCTGTAGGGATTCATTGTTTCCTTCTTTTATTGTCTCTCCCAAACCCTTTGAGACGAGATAAATATCAGCATCCAGTATCCATGACAGATAATTTTTACCAGATATGTTAAGTACAGCAAACTCAAGTTTCGTAATGTTTGCCATTTGTTTAACTACATAATAAAAAAAATACAATTAGTTTCAAAGAATATGATTAATCATCACATGTTAATCAAATAGTCAATATCAACATCACTTTAAGTTACGTGTTTTCCTTTAGGGATAAACACTAATTTGAAATAATGTGTTCTTCGAAACATATGCTACTTCTGGAGCACATTATATTTTGCTATTATTTCTTCAAATGCAATATGTCAATATTTTTCTGGAATATTGAAAGTTATAATTTATGCTCTTCAGGAACAAATAATATTTTTATAATGTTGTGCTACTTCTAGAGCAACAACAAATAGATTTAAGATTAATATTCTTCTGGAATATTAATTATAATGTTATGCTACTTCAGGAGCAACAACAATGTAATGTTTCATAACTAAACATAAAAAATGATAATACATCTAATTGTTCACCATTACTTAATATACAAACACATGTAAAATATTATTTTGAATTAATAATGTGAGTCGAGTGAAATAAAAAAAAATTGGTGACATGTAGAAACCTATTCACATATTATGGCACGAAATTCTAATTAGGTGCAATTAAAAGAATTGAATTAGTATTAACCAATTAAGACATGAAATTTACAGAAACCAATGGATTTGAGAGAAAAGATGAGTTGGGTACAGTTATATATATATATATATGGAATCAGCCAAAATAGAGATCTGGAATTAAAGTTTGCTTACAAAGAACATTGACCAATTAAATCAAAAAAAATTATAAGAATGTGTAGAACGTAAAGGGCTAATCTGAATATAAGGAGGGTATAGGAACATGAATTAATGCATATTAATTGATTTAACATAAATATATCTCCATAAAAATGCACGTGAATTGATGTAAAGGAAAAAACATTAATTAATTCAAAGAGAAGTACAAAAAAAATATAATGATCGAGAAAGATGAGATCACGTATTGCAGATTCAACATATGTATATGTAAAATTCACGTATTATCAAATTAATTTTGATATACGTGATAGATGATTATGAAAAAAAATTACTACCTTTTAAGAATTTCGTGCTGATAACGTGTTATAAAATAATAGGAAAATAGAATAGAGAAAACTCAAAGAGAATAGAGAAAATTCAATAAACCTTTTTGTGTGTATTATTGAAAACCAAAGGCCTATATTTATAAGTAAGAATCAGGGATACAATGGTAATAATTT